GGTTAAACCTTACAAACCTTATTTAAATGAACTGCATTTGCTTTTGTCAGCCAAAATTTTTCTGATGATGCCAAAGTAATAAAATATTACTGACATCTGAGTAAATAATTTCAAATGAAATGTGAATGTATATATAAGCAAAAAAATATTGACCTCTGTGTATAGCACCTTTTAGCTCAGAAGCTGATATCTGTTATCTAACTAATAAACAGAAAATGGGTTACAGTCTGCTTTGGTTTCAAAAAATGTTTTACAGTGAAAGAAGATACTAGTTTGTTTAGAACTTTTTCTAAACAAAGCCTGTGTTTTCCAGTTGTTTCCAGATTATTACCAAAAAATAACAAAGAACCACAATCAGCATCCTGTCTTATGGAGCTCTTTTTTTCTTAAATTGAAACATTCAGCTAAGCCTGATTGGTACTGACAGGGCATTCAACTTTTTTTTTTTTTTTGCCTTGTGCAGGAGCTGGAAAGCGCGTTGCCAGGCCTCTCAGAGTGGCAGGGGAAGGCTGGATCCTCAGCTAATGACTATGCACAGAATGTGGCTTTCAGATGCCAGGAAGCAGTCGTGAGATTTCAACAAAGGTAAGCCTTGGGATAAGACAGTGCATTTCACTTCTGATTAACTGTAAGAAAGGCTAATTCATTTGCTGCCTTTTGTATAAAATATTCAGACTCCTGGCTCCCATTGGCAGTTGTATTCTGTATTTATATGCCTAGAACTGTTTGGAGAAAGTGAAAGGGATGAAGATAAGAATGCAAATTTCATCATTCTTTAAACCCCTTACATTTCAAGCAGGAAGAACATCCTCAGTTCAGAAACTTCAATTCCTCTGTGCCAAGTTTCAAAAATATCTTGGCACTTCTTTTCTTTGTGCCCCAGTGCAGACTTGCCTCACTCTTTCTCAGAGCTGTATTCTCACTGAGAAATGGGAATGGCAAGCCGCGCACCTGATTTTAGCATGGATATGCATTTACGTACAGTTTAGACCCTGAGTGCTGTGTAACTGTGCTTGTTCCAATGCTGTGAAGGGTATGGGGTGTTCAGGTCAGGCATTAGCCGAGTCTTGATGGCAGGTAACTCAGCTGATCATGAAGTAACTCAGCTCTGGTAACTATTGGAAGTCACAGTTCCTCCTCCAATCCTTCATGGCTGTGCAAAAGGCTAGAAATGGGGTTTCAACTCACCCAACTGACCCAATCTACCAGTGAGGGTGTGTCCTAAGGATAAGATTTATCTCCTAGTGACAGGCTTGGACTGTGTAAATAAGATCATGCTCTTCACGGCCATCAGTTTTTGGGGCACTACTTTACAAATTTCCCATGCTCAGGTGCTGGTTTGGCCCTGCTTTGCTGTGCACGTAGAGTTTCAGGCAGGTGAGCCAGGTCTCTGCTCTTTGTTCTCTGCCTTGAGGTGCATGACAGCCTTGGTGCTGTGTGGCAGAGGCTCTGGCTCTCTTTGGAGGGACTGGAGGAGCAGCGGAACATCCCAGGGATGCTCAGTGGGTCAGGGCACAGCTAGTTGACATACAGAGTTCATTGCCTCCAAGGTCTGTTTCAAGTCAGGACTGGGTTAGTAGTGACAGTTGCCATCCAATGGCAGTTTGGTGCTTTATGTGAAATGAACTGATTGCCTTCACCACAGCCTTTAGTAGGCAACATTGTAAATGATATTAATTTGTGCTCTCAAAGGAAGCTTTAGCAGAATGACCAAGCATTTAATTAGCTTTCACAAATAACTGCTTTCACCCTCCAATGCTTGTATCTGCAGTTGAGACACTGCAAAGTCCTGCATTTCAGAAAGTGTTTCTAATTAGCTCCAGCCTAGGAAGCCTGCCTTCTCCTTTTCTGGCATTCTTTATGCTAGGAAAAAATCACATGGATTTCTTGTAAAGAGGAGCATAGCAAGTTTGGTATCAGAGGGTTAGACCTACCTAGTGGCTCTGCTGGCAGGAGGTCTGTGTATGGGTAGATAATGAAATAACATTGGTTAATTTTGATTGATGAAAGGAACACGATGAAAGAAACATGGACTTTAAAGATAAGAACCAGAGTAGAATGTGCATGAATAAAAGAGCAGCCACAGCAAAGTTCCCCTGTCTACTTCAACCGTTTGGCCTGTTTAGTTTGCCTGGTATTAAACCATTGTTCACTATGCTATTTATTCCTGTTTAACACCAGGGTAGCTCCTTAGGAAGCCTGCTATCCACAAGTGCTAAATCTGTTAAATAACGGTACCTGGATTTACCCTGTTAAGAGCTGTGAAAGCATAGTGATCAAATCTCAACACTGGCCATGTCTTAGTTTGATTGTACTACAACAAAACAGAGGTGACTTTACTCTCAAATAAGGAACCTCAAACATGGAGTAAAAAAGCATTAACACATGGTCCCTGGCCTCACACGCACACTTTATTTACTTTAACTGTCTTAACTGTCCTTGGAAAAAACATTCCCACCACTCAGCTGGGGCAGGGGTCTTTGAATTACATATGCTGAAGTTTCTTTCAGTTTGAGGGTCACTGTGTCTGGTCACTCCTTTTAAGGGTCAGCAGCAGCTTGCCCCATCCCTCTGCCGTCAATCAGCTTTGATAGGGCCAGAGCAATTACATGCCCATGTCTCAGCTCATGCAGATCACTGGCTGCTGCATGTGGATCACAGAACTGGCTCATGCAACAGGCTGTGAAACATAGTGTGACGTCTTGCCTTGTTTTCTGCCTTCTCTGCTCTGGGACATGGCAAAGGTTAAGAATTCAGTCTTGGCAGCAGGCAACAATCATAGCTAGATTTTGATAGAACATATCTGCTAGCCCCACAAAACTGGAGTTTCACTATCTTCCACCCTGTTTTTGCTAGGTTACTGGTAAAATTAGCAATGCTCTGGAATGCTACGTCTGCCTAGGATCCCTAACTCATAGACCAAAAGCTTTCTGGTCTTTTGGAGAAGAGGCAATGGCCACACTGCTGCAGGGGTGCCACTGGGCAGGCTTGGATGTCTATCAATCAGATGTGTGTGTGGAGGATAGGAGCAGAAGGATTTATTTCTGTCTCATACTAAGAAGCAAGGTTGATTATTTCTAGTGAGGCTTGTTGTTCCTTCTGCTTTAATTTAGTTTCTGCAGACTGCTACAGCTCTGTCATTAGGCTTATTGAAGTTTAAAGGTCTAAATGCCTCTGAACTGTACAGAGGTTTTTAAAAAATCTGTTCTAGTGAGTGTGAAGCAGCTAAAACCAGGATAGTCTTAATCTGTCTAAATATGGATTAAAAAATACTGAGATAAGAAAAACTTTTCGGTACAGTCCCTGTTAAGCAGAGCAATCTAAATTCAGGGTAACCTAACAAGGGATGTTCATAAACAGATACATGACAGAGAAGAATAGAACAGGCAATATAAGAGAAACAATCTACAGAAATACAACTCATAAGTATATGTGTTGATTGGTTTTTGGGGGGTACTTTCATTTTATGATAACCACTGCAACAGTTAAGGAAAAGTTTTAGTGGGATTTGAGGGAAATGGGAGAATAGACTTGGTGAAGAGGTTTACAGTCAGAAGAACAAGGGAATACTGCCTTGTTCTTGGCTAAGCTACATCTGATGTGTGAATCAAGGATTTTAATTTCAGGAGGTGTTTATCATGCGTGGTTTATGAACATCAGCATGAATTTAGAATATGTCATCTGCATGGAAGGAAACCTTTACATTTTATTAAAAGAACATGAATTTCTAATAATTTTGCTAGTGATTACACTGAATACTGCTCTAGCCATTTTGTGTAGTTGGGTTTGGATAAGAGTGTAATATAATCTGCACCTTTGGGAGATAAAAGTTATATGTAGGCCCCAGGAACAAATGTTACAATAAAGAGAATTGCCTTTTTTTAACAGACAATAGGAAAGTCAGTATGGAACAATACATATGATTACAAAAAGCTGCTCTTACCGATTGCCTTCTGAAAGGCAATCAGCAAAACTGATGTGGATTGCAGAGCTGTGTACGCTGCTACCTGAATAGAGGATGGTGTTTTCTTCAGGTGCCTGTTACACAGAGAGGGGGCTGAAACATGGGACTCCTGGGCAGTGGGAATATCAGTGTTTCAGAGAAGGTTGCATTCCAAGTCAGTGTGGGAACTACACTTTGGGTTTTTTTTAAGTTTTCTGCCAAAGAAAAATTCCTGAAAGTCCCCCCTCTTCCACATTCCCCAAATAAAATGGGAGCGGAGTGGTTTCATTTAGTAGGACTCAGCTGGTGCCTGGGTTGCAGAGGCTGTAGGGTGGCAGTTGCTGTCAGACCTATGGCTGTTCTGCAGGAAAACTGGAAATGCTGAGAGTCCTGGGCTGCCCTGGATCTTGGGCTCAGCCAGAGTCTCCCAGGGTTTCTGTGCTTCCCATGAGGGAGACTAAGCTCTAGTGAGGCTTTCAGTATTTAAGTTTTCAAGGCAAGTAGCTTTTGAGAGTGGGACTCTTGTATTCCACACTTTCCGCTGAACAGCTACAACTCGGGGATGTGTGGGAGGGAGCAGGGAAGCTGCAGAAGTGCTGAAGTCCCCGCGCCATATGGCAGACCCGCACGGGTGAGGCAGAGCTTGTGAGACTGCATTCCCGCACAGGCGACCAGGTGAGCAGGGAGAAAACTTGGCCAGATTCCCTCCGAGTCCTGCCTCAGACCTGGTGAAAATTCATCACGACCAGTATGTGTCTGCGAATAGCTTTCCTTCAGTAAATCAGGATTTGCTGATGAAACATTGCTTTGCTGGGAAATGATTGACCAGTTCCTAAGAACAGTTTCTTCAGAATCTTGATATTAAAAGATTGGTGTTTATGGTTCCAATGATACTTCTTGTATCAAGGCATGGAAAGTCCCTGAACAAGCTCTTGGGTTGCAATATACTTAAAGGGAAAAAAAAAAAAAAAAAAGAAAGAAAAAAGGCGGGGGGGGGAGAGGACAGAGGGGCAAAAAAAAAAAATCCAACATCATACTGTAGCCCAAGTAAGGACTGTGCCTGGTGAGTACGAAAGGCACTTATTATAAGAAAAACAAGTGTGGTTGTCCACAGCCAGCCTTTATGTAACTGCTGTGATTGATGAGACAGGCACTGCTACACTGGCTCTCTGTCTGGTTGCTTATTCCAGCATTCAGAGACTGCCCAAGGAGTAGCCTAGGATGTATCCAAACAGCCTTGGGCCCTTAACAGTGTTGTTTCTTTCACTGCAAGTGTGCACTTTCTGTTCATCCAAAAGCCTGTTGCAGCTCTGTATTGCTTTGTAAGGATTCATAGGCATGCCTTTGAAACATTCACCTGCAACCCTGTATTAAGGTGGCGACGATGTTTGAATTTCATAATGCTTTTTGCCATTTGTGGAGGTCTCAGAAAGGACTTTTTGTTTTCCTGGCACTGAGGTGTGTTGGTTGTGGGGTCTGCCTTTCTGTGAACTCATGTGATGTAACCTCTAGATAGGCTGAATCAGTCCTCTGATGTGGTACTGAGACTACCCTTTCTGAGCTGTTAACCTGGTAGTCCACTCTCACAGTGGGAAGGGTAAAACTGATTGTTAGATTGGAGACAGAGAAGGTGTACTGGGCCAGGATGAACTGAAAGTGAATCTGGAAAAGGGGTTTCATCCCACAGCACAGTGTGTGGTTTGCTTGCCAGGATTTATCCTGGCATCACTAATGCATTAATTGGTCCGAGACACTGAGCACGTGTGGCATTGTGGTACATAAACACGTAAGCCTCCTGAGGATGGGGTTAGTGTAATCCAGCATTGGACCAGATTTAGACTTGCAAATTACAGAATGTAATGCTCCTTTCTGGGTTTAGTCTGGGAAATAAGTGAATTTGCTTAGGTCATCTTTAAACATTTTTCCCAGTTTTTAAAATGATGTGGTTTTATTTGAATTTTATGTGAGTTTAGAAGTGATATCATGCATAATTCAATAATTCACATGTTCTGGTCTGTTTTTTAAACAGCTCACTGCTCATGCAAATTGATCTTCCCCTTGAAGTCTGGTAGGAGCTCTGTTATGAAAATAAGTATTTAGATTTTTTTTTTTCTGTTATGTCCACAAGCTTCAAACGTACATGTTACTGGGTTGCATCTTTGTCATCTGTGCCATGCAGAACGGCATAATTCTGCCAAAGCCTGTTGCCAATCGATAGGGAGGGTGAGAGATCAGGCCTTTCATATTATATAAAGAATGATATAACATGTATTCGAGTAGTAGCCACAGAGAGAATTCCATTTTCATTATTTTACATGATGTACATTATACAAAATAAGGGTTGCCTGCAATTATTCAAAATTTCAGCTAAGGCTTAAAATAATTTTAATGTACTCAGCACAGATGGAAAATTAGGGCTTGTTCCTGCTGCTTTTGAAGTTAATGGATATTTTGTGATTGACTTTTAATGAGAGTAGGATCCAACCCATAGTTATTAAATTGTAAGCCCTTTGTTGCCTGGTGACAATCAGATAACCTGCATTTGCCTAGCAGAGCAGTTAATCTTGGTGAAAACAAAAAAGCACACCCCAAAACTCTATAGAGTAAGATCAGCTCAGCATACATATGTGACTGTTAATGTAAATGGTCTTCACACAAAAACAGTTGCTCACCTTAATGATTTCAGTATCTCCAGAATCCAAAGAATGCAAAACTAAGAGCATCTTACTCCAGTATTTTTAGTGAAAAAGAAAGAGTAAAATGCAAGACTTCTGCATCCCTAAAAGAGCAGACAAGAACATCATCCTGAATGAGAGAGGTGTGGTACTTCAGGGGTGCTGTAAACTTTTTACTCTCCAGAGTGCAAGACTCATGAGTGATACAGCTGTGAATTATGTAGGGCTTCGTATAACACCTGTAAGAACTGCTGCTAGCGTTTAGTTTTTTGTTTTCTTTTTTTAAGGAGAGTTCACATTTGCTGTGTGTTACGTACCCTGAAAGGAGTCACCCAAATGAATACCAGAAGTGTACAAATCTGACACTTGTCCTTTTCGTCCTTTCCTTTATGTCTAGCTCTAGTTCAATGCAATAAATCACTCTAAATATTTTTTTCTTCATTAGTGAATTAATTCTTCAGCTGTTTGTAGCCTTGCAGGTCCTTCCTTGCCTGTTATTAAACCAAAC